CTGGTCAATCCCCATGGTCCCGGTGCTGCTCTGGTTCAGGTTCGCTAGAAGATGCAGATGTGACCGGACAGCCACTGAGAGGCACCTGGGGATGAAGAAGCCATAGGTGCCCAAGGAGACCAGAAGCTGCCACAGTCATGGAAAAGGATCACAGCTGAGTCAAAGGCTCAGAGGGTTCACATGAGGGAAGCTGAGCACCACTGAGTTCAGAGGTTCCAGACTGGCTTCTCAAAGGTTTTCACTCTCAGCTCCTTCTGCAACCCCTGGAGTCGCTAACATGCAGAACTTGCCCCGCCATAGGGGACTATGGAGGCAAAATCTATACCTAATGAGGGCTGGAGTTCTCCTCCATGTGGCCAACATGAGAACCCTGCTCTGCAGACATCCTCCCTATTTCCTTCTGCCATACTGATGGGGGACTGTGCACCACAGCAGGTTTGCCTATTTTGCCTTGGATCACCCAGGTAAGTGAGTAGCAAAGGGAATATTTGAACCTCAGTCTTCTGCAGCTCAAGGCCCTGGTTCTGGAGAGAGGGGCACCCATAGCACCCTGGGTACCAGACAACAGCCCTCCCAGAGAAGATGCTGGAAGTAGTCACAGAATGTGGCCCAACAGCATCCGGACAGCTTAATGTGGCTGAGTACATCCTGTAGATCCTGGAAGTGAAGCCTGGCACTGTGTCATGATGAGATGGGACTCCAGTCATCAGGCCATGGCAAAGACAGCAGCCAAGAAAGGAGGAAGACAGTCAAACAGCGCATTTCCCATAATGAACTAGGCTGGGCTGGATGGAGCCAGAATCCCAACATTTGACATTTTGCTGAGTTTCAAGATTCAGAAAAAAATCTATTGGTTTAAAAGTTACACTTCAACTATTCATCAGAACTTGTGCCTGAAGTCTTCGGGTGAGGCTGCTGGCCTGAAGTGGTCCCACAGTGATGGTCTTGATGGCAGAAGCCTGCTCCTTGCCTGCAAAATGTTGGCTTACGTTGACCCAGAATTTGAGTCCATGCACCTGAGCTTAAGAGTCTCCATCCCTGGTGTGGAAGAGCTCCTGGAATAAAGATACCTCTGCGGTGGACTGCATGACATACTCAACCTAAGTCCACTGAGAGGAAACGAGAAAAATGACCCAAACACCACTGGCTGGAGAACCATCAAGAAAAAAAATTCTCTGAGCACACGGTATCTGTGAAAATGCATGGAAAGGGACCAGGTACAACAGGTCCCACTTCATCAGCAGCTCACAAAGATTAGTCCCAAACAGTTATCAGATCCAGGTCCCTCTGTGCTCAGGGTCAGATCTGGGGCTCTGCAGGCTGTGCAGTCTCTGCTCCACTACTGTGGTATGAAAACAGCCGCAGAGTGAACACAAATGTGGCTGTGTTCAAATAAAACTTTATTTATAAAAAAATAAATAAAAGGCGAGTTGATTCCTTCTACATAGAAGTCTACCAGGTGCCTATCAGATGCTGTGCTGGGCACAGGAACTAAAACGGGAGCAAGTGAGGAAGACACACGAAGCCAAAAGCTATCATGGGAACTAGATCTCAAGCAAAATCCTTACAAGAGTTGACAGTAGGTGAGGGAAGAGGAGAGACTAAACTGGCTCTATAGCTCTATATTTTAAAAGAGACCAGAAGGTACTGGGAGCAGTGGAAAGAAAACAGCCAAGCATCACCATGTCTCTGCACCTGGTGGGCTCTCTGGCCTCTCCCCCTGAACTGCCAAACATAAGACTGCACACTGCTATCCCATAAGCACTCCTTTCCTGGGTGGTGACACAAGAAAGCTCAGTTTGACTGTGAACCAAGGTCTGTGTCCCTCCTGCTTCTACCCACTTGCCTACTGCAGCCCCGACAGGATGGTGAGAAAAGGGCCACACTGTTTGGCGTAGAAGCAGAGGCAGTCAGATCTCTGTGAGTCTGAGTTCAGCCTGGTCTACACAGAGAGTTCCAGATGAGCCAAGACTACCTCTAAAACAAAAGGAGAGAAAAGGGCCACATTGCTCGCTGCAGACTTCAGCACCAGGGACAGAACCCCTGCAGGCCCCATTCACTGACCAGCACCAGCAGTGTCAAAGCAGGGAAGTGTGCTGTCCCCAGAGCCCAGCCGATGCAAACAAAGCCACTGCACCCCACGCTCTGTGACCCTGTGTGGGAGGACTGTTGGTGAAGAGGAAGTAAAAACAAACACTGCACAGATCCCTTCACCCACGTTATTAGCTTGGGAGAGACTCACAAACGTGCCGATAGCAGCAACAGCAACATCTGCTTCTGATTGCTTCTCCCCAGAACTCGTCAGCTGGCGTTTGCCCCAGGAGAAAAGCTGGTATTTGCAACAAACTCTTAAATCAGATGGCATCCAGAGTGAGTAATTTTTTATGTGTTTGGTCTTTGAAGCCAAAAACACAGAACGCACCTTTACAGGAGAGCTGGGCCATACAGTGGTCCCACACCAAGGGTCTGCTTACAAGGTTTCTTTTATGGGCTGTTCAACACAGGGTTTCTCTGTGTAGCCCTGGCTGTCCTGGAACTTGCTCTGTAAACCAAGATGGCCTCAAACTAGGAGATCCGTCTGCCTCTGTTTCCCAAGTGCTAGGATTAAAGGTGTGTGCTACCACCACCTGGCTACAAATTTTTGATTTGCATACCATGCTCAAATGTCTCCTTCTATTTATTATATATTTGTGTTCTAGTATTTTCAAAAATTCTACTGTGCCCACTAGTTGATGGGTAATATTATTGTAAAACATTTCTTTTACAATAGAAAAGTAGTATTTTGAAAGTGTCTCAAGGAGGAGACCCACAAAGTACTCTGAAGCAAGGATTTGTTTGTAGGTTCTGCTCAGAAGCTCACAGACCTTCCATAGCCTGCAGGGTACCACCTTCCTGGGAAGCTAGTCTGGTACACAGTGTGGATATGGATGAGACTCTGGGCTTTGGAGGCTCTGCTGCACTGTCCCACATCACCTCCACATCCAATGTCACCAGGATGGGGTATCCCTGGGTGACATGGATGCCTTCGGGTAGGTCCCCCTAGTGCTGCAGACCCTATGACACTGGTTCTCTTCATGATGAAATGGAAGAGGACCCCTCCTGCTGCCCTGTACCTCTTTCTTCCCTATGAGCTTCCACACAAGTGGAACAGGGTGCAGGAATGGCACAGGCTACGCCTCTATCTTCCTAGGACAAACTGAGAACAACCTGGAGTCACCGAGTCCCTCAGTCATAGTCCTAACAAGCCTCTCACACACCTCTGCTGCTCCACCTACTCCACAGCCATTGCTACCAACACAGAGCCCTTCCTCAGCCCAGCCCACAACATAGAGCCCTTCCTCAGCCCAGCCCACCAACCTCCACAGGGCCACAGCAATAGTTCTGACTGGACAACCCTCCTCTGGCCCTGGCCAAGACACAGCACTGACAGTCTCTTCCAAGCCCATCCTGCTGCCCAGTGCCCTCGCCAGTCAAGTCTATATACCTCTCTTAGAGCTCACACTCCTACCTCCCATATATGCACAGTTCACATGGCCATCTTTCTTAACTCAGTCAGTCATGGCTCGCCAAGTGCCTGCCTGAGCCAGGCATTCCAGCAAACCACAGAATCTCTGCCCCACAAAAGCTCACATTTGACGGGAGAGAGACAGGCAAATACAAGAACATAAAAAATCCAAGCTGTGCCAAGTGATAGTAAAAACCATGGAGAGGAATAAAGGAGCAGAGGGGACCAGTGCACTCGAGGAGGGTGGCAGGCAGGGAAAGTGGCATTTGAGTGATGTTCCCTCTGGGAACGTGCTCTACATAGAAAACTGGAGGAGCATCCGTACACGGACAGAAAATGTGCAGCAGGTTCTGGGAAAGGCAGAGTGTAGAGGGCGGGGCTCATAATCAGGGGCTTTGGGGAGATCATTTAAGCCTTGTGGATCATGGGCTTTCACTGCAATTAAGACAGAAACCTGGAGATGCTGCGGAGGATGGAACCATCTGATTTAGATCACTCCGCTGCTGTAAGGCCAGCAGCAAGGGTAAGCAAACAGGAACCCCAAGCCCTCCTAACTCAAGACAGTGGCGCTGCAGCCAGCCACAAAGCAGTGGACATGGGCAGAAGGGCTGATGCTATGAAGGGAGGAACATGTTGCTGGCAATTACAATGGGGGTTCAATGGGAAGAGCAGAGATGGGGCTGGTGTTTGGGACCCAACTTTGAGTCATCATGTGTTAAGAAACAAGGACAACTGGAGCTTCAGGCTGCAGCAGGGTAGGAGTGGAAGACCTCCAGCTCTGAAGGCCCCTGAGGCCAACACCTCCTCCAGGAAGGCCCCTCAAGACAAGCTGGCAAGCATTGTGCTTCTCCGTCCATGCACATGTACACACTGCAGGACGTTCTCTGCACTGGGGAACTGCAGGCTGACTCACTTCCCACACACAGTAGGTACTCAACAAATCTTCACAGTGATACCCTGCAGAAGCTTGTACCTGTGATGTTTTAATATCTAAACTATCCTCTAAAACCTCTAAAAATGATGCTCAGACCTCATTAAATATGAAGCCAAAACTATTCTGCCTCAAATATACAGGTGCAGCTCTGTCCCTACTGATTTGAATTATGAAGGACAGTTCTCCCATAGAAAGGATGGCCCAGCAGGCACTAAGCAGATGGCTTAGTCAGTAAAGTGCTTGTCTTGTAAGCGTTGATTCCCTTAATTCAATCTCCAGAGCTGTGCAGAAGGTCAGGTGCAGTGGTGTGAGACCGCGCTCCTGGCACTGGGGAGGCAGGGCAGGCAGAGCCCTGGAGCACTCTGGTTAGCCAGTCTACCCGATCAGAAATGCCCAGGTCCCAGCATCTCAAAACACAGGTCACAGCTCCTGAAACACCCAAGGTGGAGCTCTGTCCTACACACACATACACATGCACAGCCACAGCCACAACCACAGCCACACACACACACACACACATTCCCCACACATGAAAGGCCAGCCTCAGAAAAAAGGTGTCACCTTGCCAGTCCTCATGTCCCAAGCTTTGATTTCAGAGCTGAAGCCGCCACATAAAAAGACGTTGTGATCTTTTGGATGAAATTTCAAGGTGGTGATTCTGAAGTCACTCCGACCACTAAATACTTGGGTCCCTGCAACACAGACAGACAAGAAAGAGTGAGAAAATACTCAGATCACACATGCTTCAAAGTGGAGATGTTCACACAGCTCACCAGGGCCTCTGTGGCCCAGTATGGACCTTCTGGAAACAGAGCAAGGTGGCAGGCAGCTCATTTCCACTCCCTGTCAAACCCCTCCCCTGCCAGGCAGCTGATCCCAGGACTCGAGCTCTCCCTGGTCTGCGAGAGTCATGGGTGTCATCTCATGTAACCACAGGACAGCTGAAAACGGGCTCAGGGAGGCTCGGGAAATTTCTCACACTGCATGGGCAATACAGGAGATTGTTTATCTAAAATCTAAAAGCAGAGTTGGTTGGAATTTATTTCAGGATACATCTTCCAATCCTGATAAAAATGAAGATGGGTTTGTTACAGAGTACAGCAGGTGCAGGTGACCTGACATGCTGGGCCACAAATGACAGTGACCCGCACAGCAGTGCAGCTACAGAATGGACATCAGGTGTGGCTCACTGGGGTCTCACTAGCTCTTCAGGACTCGAGACAGCCCTGCCACTTTCCACATCATCATAAATGGGTATGGAGTCCCTGTGTGCACTGTGGTAAGTATCTGACACATACAGGTACATATGGTGTGGAAACAGCTGTCGCTATGGTTTCCTAGAGGTGAGCAATATAAACATCAGAAGTGTCCATCATTCAGAGCCGGGTAAAGCCAGCACTCCCTCCAATGCTCAGTGTGACTTGTGCATCCCACAGCACGGATGGGATTCTTATCTGTCACACTTAATTTGTCCAAGTCTGTACCAAGAAATCAGACCAGCTTGAAGAGACACCACACAGGGAAGCACCTGGGTTTGGCTCCTAGCACATTACGAGGGGCCAGGCTCATATACCAGAGACAGCACCTGACACCTTCCAATAGCAGAGGAGGCTGACTTCCTCAGTCAAATAGGGAACTCTTGGCTGCCTTTGGCTACCAGGACTCCTCCACTGAACCAGCGCAGTGGCAGAGTGGAACACAGAGGCTGACAGCCAAGGAGCTGGGAAGGTGGCTGTCTGTAAAATGCATGCCACAGAAGCATGGGGAGCTGACTGTGATTCCAAAACCCACATAAAAAGCTGGGCCTGGTGGTGCACACTTACAACCCCAATACCAACCAGAGACGGGGAGATAGGCGGATCCCCAAGGCTTGCTAGCTGGACAGCTTCACCTCATCAGCAAGCCCTAGGTCCCAGTGAGAAGGTAAGGCTCCCAGGGAATGGGACCCAAAGCTGACCACCGGCTTCCACACACATGTACATATGCCAGCACCTGCATGCACACAGCTGGTGGCAAAGGCAGTGATGAGATGTCAAGACGAATGGGTCCCCTTCTAAGCCTTAGAAGACTGTGTTTGTTCATTCCGGGCAGAAAGCACTCCCTGATGGCTGCCTCTGTCTGCTGACCCAATACACTGAGTAAGAACTCGACCAGCTCCAGTTCATCCGGTAAGGAAATGAAACTCATCAATCACAGCTTATGAGAGTCACAGAGGGACAACACAGATCCAATGGCCAGAGCCACTGTCTCCAGGCCTGTCTGCCTATACCCATTCAGGACAGACCTAAACAGACATCACTGTCATGCAGTGATTTGTTTATGAGTGACAAAATGCACCCGTGTGCCAATATAGCATAGACACGGTTTTTAAAGACCTTTTTGTCGTGTGTGTGTGTGTGTGTGTGTGTGTGTGTGTGTGTGTTTGTTTAGAGTATATGCCACGTGAGTGCAGGTGGCAGCACAGGCCAGAAGAGGGAATCGGGTTCCCTGGAGCTGCAGTTAAAGGCAGCTGCCTGACAGAGGCGCTGCTCCTCTGAGAGAAAGAAGTGATCAAACCACCGAGCCATCTCTCCAGTGCCATGATCACACTTTTTAAACACCAAAATTAGGATCTCTTACACAGTGAGACAAAAATAAAAATAGACAATTTAAAATATATCTTAATATACCATATATTAAGAGCATCAAGCAACCTATTTTTTAATATTTGACTTATTAATTGGGGTGAATGTGCACTGCACATGCTACGGTATGCAGAGGTCAGTGGACAACCTGAAGGGGTCGGGTCTCTCCTTCAGCCATGTGAGTTCGGGGTATTAAACATAGTTCTCCAGGCTTGGCAGCAGATGCCTTTACCTGCTGAGCCGTCCTGCCAGCCCACGGGCATCGCGACTTCCTAGAAATCGTGAAAGCCATATGAGCTACAGAGTTAGAGCTGTGGCACTTTTAGTGGCAGCACAGACCCAAACATGCTTTCTCTTATCTAAACGCAGATGGCGACCTGTGACCCAGGGCTTGAAAGCCATCCACCTGTAGCTTCTGTTTACCCAGCGAACTCAGTGAGGCTGACAGAGACTCCTCACAGAGATGCGCCAGGAGGCAGGGTGCTAGATAGCCCCCAGGGACCACAAAAGACTGAGAGCCCATTTTCCCTGGCAAATAACAACTCTACACCTAACCAGACGGTGTTATCACTATATTCCTATGTTTTCAACAACTTGGTTTAAAGTCAGACAAAATGTTCATTTAAAAGGTTTTAAAATGGATGGGAAATAGTCAGGGTGCAGACACCTGCTGTTTTGTTTTTGTTGGGTTCTTTTCATTTGGCGCTAGGAACTGAACTCAGGACCGTGAGCATACTAGACAAGTGTTCTACCACTGAGCTACACTTCCCATACACAAAGTAAAGTCTCCAATGAATGACATTTATTTATTTATTTATTTATTTATTTATTTATTTATTTATTTATTGGTTTTTCAAGACAGGGTTTCCCTGTGGCTTTGGATCCTGTCCTGGAACTAGCTCTATAGACCAGGCTGGTCTCGAACTCAGAGATCCGCCTGCCTCTGCCTCCCGAGTGCTGGGATTAAAGGCGTGTGCCACCATCACCCGGCAATGGATGACATTTAAAGAATAAATAAATAGACCCATTTACAGGTACCAGTGTATAGCTCTATAGTAAAATTTGTGCTTAGTATGTACAAGGTCCTTGGTTCAAATGCCAGAACAGAACAACAACAACAACAACAACAAAAAGTAGTCTGTTTCAAAGCATTCTCTCCAAAGTGAAAATAGTAATTATTAATTTTAAATTCTGCAAGGGCAGGGAGATGTCTAGGTACATAAAGTGCCTGCCATATAAGCATGAGGATTTGAGTTCAGATCTCCAATACCCACATAAAAAAGCTCGGCATGGTGGCACATTCATATAATCCTAGTGCTAGAGGGATGAAAATGTCGGAGGTGGGGGGGGGGGGTCTCTGGGGTTTACTGGCCAGTCATCCTAGCTGAATCAGTGAGCCCCAGGTTCAGTGAGAGACCCTGTTTCAGGAAAATAAGGTGAAGAGTGAATGAGAAAGACCTCACTGTCATCCTCTGGCCTCAACACATGTACACACACACACACACACATACACACACACACACACACACACACACACACACACACACGGACAACAGAGTCTTGCTGTGTAACCCACAAAGGCCCCTACTGAACTGCTAATGCTCCTGACTCAGTCTCCTTTGCACAGACAGGTCATCCCTGGGCAAACCTTGCTTTGTTTTTTTGTTTTGTTTTGTTGGGTCTCATCTGTAGCTCAGGCTGGAATAGAACTCACTGTGTAGCCCAAGCTGACCTCTCCTGGTGATCCTTATGCTTCAGCCTCTCAAGTGCTAGAATCCCAGGCGTGAGCCACCACACCCAGCTGGCACACACTTCCCCGAGCACAGTCACCCCCACGCTGCACCTGCGCCTCCACCTGCACCTGCCCTTTCCCTCAAAGGATGACTAAGAGCGTTCTTTATTTTTTTCTTCTACTCTCCTCTGGAGTCAAGGATTGGCAGTCACCTGTCACCATATGAGATTCTGGAAATACTTGGTTTTTTTTTTTATCAAGGAATGCCTGTAAGCTGCACAAGTGCTCAAGGCCCTCAGCTATGCAGCAATGCTGACCACCTGCCCCCCAGCACCCCAAGAATTACAGGAGGAGACACTGACACAAGGCAAACCCTAGAAAGGAGGGCTTACCAGCCTTTGTCATTCACTGCTCCTTTCATCCAAGATACTTCATGCACCCTCGGGTACATAAGCATATGCAGTAGGTGCAAACAACAAATATTTGCTGATAATAATCATAAAAATATTTAAAAGCAATTCTTTGGCATACATATAATTTTACTATTTACTAAATATTAAATCAAATTTGCATACTAATGAGATGGATTACTTGTTTATTTTTACATCGAGAATTAAATCCTGAGTATGTGTGGCAGGTCCTGTACTTTCAGGACTCAGGAAGAAGGCTGGAGGACAGCCTGGGCTACACAGTAAATTTCAGACCAGCCCAGGCTACAGAGTAAGACCCTAACTCAAAATATAAACAACAAAAAGAAACAAGAAATCTATTTAATACAACAGAGTATATCATACTTTCAAAGTTTTTCAAAATTGATTGATATTCAGAGATGCTGAGAATTCCACTTTGCATAAATCCATTTTTAAAAAAAAAATCACAGAATTATGTCTAGAGCCATTCCAGAAACTGCTGGAAATTCTATCCTAGGCCAAACTTCATTCACCATGCTTAAAATGAAGCTGATTTGAAGAGCAATTTAAAGCCAGCACTCTGACACAATACAATCCAAGGATGTCTAACCTGACGCCTACATGCTGAGTAGTGTAAAATATTAAAAGTCCTTTTGTCCCAGAATGGAACTGTTACATTTCTGCAAGAGCAGAAAACTTTGTAAACAGGACTAGCACTGCACTTCATCACACAGGAGTCTTGAATCTGAGCTGAGGCTTTGGGGTAGGTCTCACTGGCACTGTCCTACCTGATGGCACTCACAGTACACAGTGCCCACAGTGCATGCTCAGGCCGAGGCTGCAGTAAAGTCATGAAAATGGGTGAATACTGCTGGAAGCATCTTGGATCCGTTACGCTTTTGAACTTGAATTCATTTTTGGTCACT